ATGTACTGTATATGGTAGCATCCGTTGTTGGCTGGCCTTCTGTCCCAAAAATGGTCTCTGTTTTGTAGCAGAAACATTGACGAATATGTAACATAAATTTAATAAAGTCACCCTTTCTCTTGCGTCCAAAGCCATTTAATCAGAAACGTAGATGATTTTCGAGTTCATGGTGCATATTCAGAATGAACTTTTAAAATCAGTTGTTTTTCATTTATACAGTCTAATAAGTTACGGCTTCCTCTTTTATACAGTGGCGGAGACGAAAGTTCCAATTACTGCGACATATCGTACAGGTTTGGTTAAATCAGGGCTAGAGTTATCTGATCTTGACAGCACGTACGACTAACGTACGTACTAACGTGCGTGGGTATCTGCCTTTTGTCATCCCACATGTCTGAATGTAAAACATTTATGAATAAGCTATCTTGACTGATTTGTTGAAACGAAGTACAGTATCGCAAAAAGTTCTTCTACCAATAGCCATTACTGATGAAATGGAAGAAGGCCAGCTTCCCAGTGATCATAACCTTTGGATAAATATAACGCCAATGTTCTTGGGGATTTCTCGATGCCAATACTCGATCATAAAATTACTATTCGATTTTTCAGTATAACATTTAACATTGAATTCTGAGGCAGTCCAATTACGGAACTTCGCATATGAAGGACTTTCGTATAGTTTAGTCTTGTGGCTCTCTTTAGCGCAACAACTAATAACCTCTTTCTTTAGATTGCTCTACGATGGCGAGTTCAACAAGAGGTGATTGATGGAAAAGGTGAGTTTCACCCTCATTTAGTGTGGACCGTTTCAATAATCTGATTTTATCTTAACCTTTTTGAAGGTCAGTTTATTTGCGGTGAAAAATCATGCCAGGAAAGAAACGAACTAACGAGCTGGGAAGTTAATTTTTCATACATCGAAGATGGTGTAAAGAAAAACGCTCTCGTCAAGCTCAGTAAGTATTAACATGAAATTGATTCAAGGCCTTCTTTTGGCCTTTGCGAATCTATCACTGGTTTTAAAACCACTTACTTTGCGGTGTATTAATCAGTCAATCAATGTCTTATTCATTTATACAACGTGGTTGTTTTCAGTAAAGAAAGAACGACCATTTTCTGACGCGGTTAACATGATATAAACAGCGAAAGAGTGTTTTAAGCTTGATGTTAAAATTATTACAAAGCAGCGGCTTACTACTAATGTCATGTCACAACGGTTCTTCAGTCGGTTTTTCTAATGGTCCTCTTCTTTTAGCTGTACCGAGTTAAAGAATGAGATAATATGTATCTCAGTGAGTTAGGGGGAAGGCACTTGAAACTTGAATGTGTTCACCTTGTTGTTGCGTCAATAGCAAAGAATCGAAAATGCGTTTGCTATGTTCGCATCAAAGATGATTGAAGCTTTGCAGTAACGAGACTGTTCTGCAAAATGTGCATCGTAATAATCGTTCAAGAAAATTGCAGCAGAAAACTTTTGTTCCGTCATTGAT